TATGCAGGATGCCTGTTAGTGCTGATGTGTGGCCTCAGGACCCTCTGACCTTCCTTATTTTCTGTGATCTTCCTTCCTCACTGACAGACTCCACTTCCCTTCTCCATTTTCCTTCTGTTTCCTCTGAATATTACCTGGGCTCTGACCTTTGGCTCCTTGCTTTTGCCCCTCAGTATCCTGTTGTCACTTCAACTGTCAAAGAGTGGTCTTCCTCTCCCTCTCCATGAATGAAATCCCCAGAGTGTCTTCTAGTCTGTCCCTGTTCATAGGCTGTCCTCACAGTTACTTGTTCTAGATCCCTGGAATAAACTGATCCCCGCTGTCTTGCCTCCTTCAAGTCTGTCACCAATCCCGCTGGCTGCAACTCCTTTGCTCTGAGTGTGTACTGTTCACCCCTGACCTGCTCCACGGCTTTCTCACACCCCTGCAATTACAGAAGCCAAAGCCCGTCACCCCATACTGTGAAGATACCCTTTTATCATGTTGCCCCCTTAGTGTGGTGTTCAGATTGCTTAGCCTAGTGACCAAGATTCTGTGGTTGACCTCAGTCACTGTGAACAAAAGCCTCATGTGTTCTTTGATTGTTTACCATGGGTAAGCATTGTGCCAGCCCTGGGGACAGGACGGCTGGATGACAATGACTTAATTTTATGACAATGCTTGCCCAAGGGGATTACATCAATAGTCATAGAAGCCCAGCCTGGTATGTAGCTTGTGCCAGACAGCAGCAGGGAAGCTTGGTTGTGCAATGGGAGCAATGTGGGGACGGAACTATGCAAAATCACCTGAGCCCCAAACAGACTGGCCATTGAAGTCACCAGGTGTCGGCCTTACCAACTGTAAATCTCTGACCATGTTCTAAGGTAGTATGCTTCCTCCCAGGAATTCAGATTCATAATTATACATAATAAATGTCTTTGCATTTGTAATTAGTAAATATGATTCATGCTAAATAACATTTTTTTGTTTACATCAGCGACTGGAAAACTTAGATTTAACATCGTTCCCCCAGCCAAGTCACTAGCTTGATCATCTGCTTTGGGGGCTGTAATACTGGCGTGGCCTGTGAGACCGTGTCTTGGGGGGGGGGGTCTGTCAATTGTCTTAGTTTATTCAGAAAGAGCTAAAGAATATACTGGATATATTTTTCAATGTGCCAATGTCTTGGCCCTATTATTGACCTGCTGTTTCTTTCTCTTTCCTTCCTTTCTCTTTTTTCCATATAATGTGACAGTTCTATTGAGATGTAATTCTCACACGATACAATTCACTCACTGAAAATGTACAACTCATAGCACTTGGGAGGCCAAGGCAAGGGGTCACTGCAAGTCTGAGACCAGTCTAGTCTGTATAGCCAGTCCCAGGCCAGTCAGTGCCGCACAGTGCGAACCCACCTCAAACAAGCAGATAAAACTACACATTCAGTGATGTATGTCCATTGTAGTTGTGCAAACATCAAGACAGCGTCCCACTTACCTTTGGGAGTACTCTTAGGGCTATTTCCAGGGTGACCCCATGGGTTGTGGAGATGAGGACCGCCTTCCTGCTTGGGGATCCCTGCTTAGTCTTTGCTGGTTTGGGGCCCAGCCTGTTTCTGGGCTGGCTGCACTCAGAACTGAGCTGTCTGTGGCCTGCTCTTCTGTTGAGTGCTAGGCTAGCTACAGACAGAACTAGCTGGTTTTGACACTGTCTTAAAAAAGTGATTGTTTTCAGAGTTATGCCATCCAATAATCAATTTCTACCTGAGTACGTTAGAGCTCCACAACCGTGCCCTTTCCTGTTGAAAAGGCCCCCTGGCTGTTGTCATGTGAACTATTAAAAATCACAACCCCGTGGTTTCAGCTTCACCTTCTTGTTCTCCTGCTGCCTGAGCTCAAGCCTAGCTGTTGGGTCATCTCACCCTGCAGAGGGACTGAAACCCCCAAATTCCAGAAGGGCTAAAGCCGTGTAGAGTAAGAAACTAGTAGCAGCCATAGTACCACATTACCACAGTCATGGCCACAAACTTCTCTTCTGTGCCCCAGTCCTGGGGTTTCTACTGCACTATGTACCAAGGCAAAGTGCTAACTCCCTTCTGTTATATGTGGCCAGCCACTTGTTTGTTCCCAGCTGCTCAGCCCTGAAATAATCACACATATTACTTGCAATACTGTGTGACCGATAGCTTAAAGAGTATTTCTGGTTAACTCATATTTTAAATTAACCCATCTCCGTTAATCTGTGTATCACCATGAGGTTAGGGCTTACCAGGTAAAGTTCCAGTGTCTGTCTCCAGTGGGGCCACATGGCTTCTCTCTGACTCCGCCTTCTTCCTCCCAATATTCAGTTTAGTTTCCCCCGCCTGGCTAAGTCCTGCCTTGCTATAGGTCCAAGACAATTTCTTTATTAATCAATGGTAATCACAGCATACAGAGGGAAATCCCACATCACCCTCTTGACTGCAGCCAGTGGGAGTTGAAAGAGGTAGCATCAGGGCATTGACATGGGGGTTTCTCTCTTGCCAACAGATGACCAGGGGACATGTGATCACTTACACTGAGGTGACTTAGCCTTTGTCAAGTAGACTTGAGAGGGTGAGGGAAGATCATCAGGTTACTTGAATTGCACTTGGAGTTGGGATCATTTTCTATCATAAGTTCGTCCGTGGTGATTAATGAATTAGATCTAAAATGGAAGATGTTCCTGGGTTTATGTCTTAAACCCGAAGTGTAATGATGCTTACTTTCTACTTATAGGAGTGGCAAGGAGTTTACCATACCGAGAAGAAAAATGGAGATAATATACAACAAAATGTGAAGATAATACCTGTCACTGGGCAGGGAGGGTAAGTGGAAAAAGCATTCTGCAATCAGCAGTCCATGTTTTGAATTTTCTTTGAATACTTAAATAAATTCAGACCTGTCCAGAGAAGTGCAGAGGCCTAGAGCAGGTCCAGGTGTCTCACAGGATGGCTTCTAGGGTGCTGGTTCCTTGAAGGCCTTCTACTTGCCTTGGGACAGTCTTCATTATGGTAGATTTGCAGAAGACCTCAGTGTTTACATTCAAACCACAGTTTGCCTCTGTGTTTATAAGCTTTTTATCTAACGGGGAGTAGTTATTTTTGCAAAGGCCTTTCACATTAGAGAAAAATGTTTTGAGTGCTAGCAGATGTGTTAGGGCTGGAGAGCTCTCACTGGGAAATGCGCTTGCCGTGCAAGCGTGAGAATCTGAGTTCTGATCTGTAGCACCCCCTAAAAAGCCGGTGTGGACTCACGCCTGAAACCCCATCATTGGGGGGTGGAGATCCTGGGGCCTCGCTGGCTAGCCAGTCCAGCTGTGAGATGGTGAGATCCAAGTCCAGAATAATTAATAATGACAAAGTGTAGAGGCACTTGAGGAAGACATCACAGTGGCAGCTTCTGTCTTTACACATGGCCACACAGGCCAGCATGCATGTGCTCACATACGTACATTGTAAACCGCAAATATATATGTCAAGAGCCTAAACTTTTCAGATGCCTTGTCTCAGAACCTATTCAAAATAACAGAGAAAGTTTCTAGAAAATTCTGAGTATGAATTATAGAATACCCAACAGTAAAATAGACACTTGTGTAAATGGAAAATTAAGTTGTAAGGAAACCCTTACTGTACTAGTAAATGGAGAATAAAGTCAGCCCCAGTGTGTGGTGCATTCCCAGAAGGGAAGGAGGTGAGAGGAGGAAGTGAGGCCCAGCTCCCTGCAGGTCCCTCTCCAGCCAGGCTGCTGGCTAGTGGGAGAGGCCGTCCCTTTTCTCTCTAAGTGTGCTCTGCTAGCACAGCACACAGCGGTGGATCCACTTTACACGTGAGGAAACCGAGTCATAGAGAGGTCGGCTTCCCGGCCCAGCCCTGGCTGCCATGTGTGACAGTGCCTGGTGCAGCCCTCAGTGCCGACGGCACCGCTCACGTGCTGTGTCAGCAGACTCCGCTGCCAGTCGGCGGTTGCCTCGGGCAGATCTGTGGGCTCTCTGTTCTACGCTGCTCTTTTATGTCCCTTCCAAATCTTCCCGTGATAAGTATATAGGGATCTGATTCTGGGGGTGTGGTGAAGAAAACTGAGGGGACAATAAATAAATGGGACACGTCAGCGGCTTCTGTGCTCAGCCCTCGGTGTTGGCTAACCCAGGCTGCAGGAACTCAGCCTTGTGTGGCCTGCTGCTGCCTCCACGAGCGACTGGAAGCAGACTCTGGAACTCGGAGCATCTGCATCGACACTTGTCAGAACGGCGTCGGGCACGGAAGGCTAGCAAGCGGCACACTGCTAGCAGCATATGTATTACTGTATTGTCCGTGTCGTGACCGGGGAAGGAAAAGACTGCCGGAGTCACTTCCTTTTTCCCAAAGTCATAAGGGGGTGTTTGTAAAGTGCTGTTCATTTATTGGAGCCTTGGCCACACACACACACAATTAGAAGAAGAAATGCTTTCAAAGTATTTTATATATTGCTAAAGGGAAATATTCTATTCATGATAAAACATTAACTATGTTTACTCCAAATTAGAGTCAGGAGGAAAATAACGCATTGTTTTCTACTTACAGAAAAATTAGACACTATGTGTCCATTATCCGAATGTGCAATGGCAACAGTAAGGTAGGCAAGGCGCCCCAGGACCTGAGCCTTCCGAGCAGGGATTCTAGATGATGAAAACTAATGGCTTGTAAATTTATTTCTAGGTTGAGACAGTGACTGAGTCTGTCCAGACTGACAGTCAAACAGGTATGAAGCCCCGTATTCATTCTTAAGGCTGAGGGTTTGGGGGAGCTCACTGCCTTGTGCAGTGGTGGGACCGTGTTCCAGCGCCAACACTGCCCCTGTGCGTGGATTGAGCTGGAGGACCTGAATGCTGTGGGCATCTTGACAAGTGTCTGGGCTGGGTGCTGGCCTGTGTGGGAGAAGGGACAGATTCAATCAATGATGACTCTTGTGTGTATGATGAATGAAGTATGAGTTTATAACGTGAGCTGAGCTCTGAGAGGCTACAGGGTTGAGTGGCATGCCGAAGTACGCTGGCCGGAACATCGTCTGTCCTGATAGTGGTCACCGCCATCCCATAGTTGGACATGGGGCCGCCAGGCTTGCTTCATGTCCTGTCTTCTAATTATGCCTCAGACACCATTTGTCCACTGCAAAGGCCTCTTTCTATGGCGTGGAGTCCTTGTTTCCTGCAATCATAAGCCATGGCTTTTGCCCTCACAGACTTAAGGGGATAGGCGCTGCAGCAGAAGGAAAGTGTTGCCCGTCCCCAGGAGGAGGACAGTAAATGAGGACTGGCAGAGTAAGTCAGCGTAAGGGGTTTGGACTAATGCTGGTCCTTGAAGGCCAGTAGGAGTCAGGCCTTTGACGAGAGGGATCGGAGTCTGTGGTGTCGCAGCCGTTCACGGGGAAGGGTGCGGTGCTCACACTGTGACTGAGAGGGATCGGAGTCTGTGGTGTCGCAGCCGTTCACGGGGAAGGATGCGGTGCTCACACTGTGACTGGCCAGGGAACTGAGGTGGCAGGAAGAAGAGTAGTGAGGACAAATGTGATGGTGTCAGACTAGGAAGTCAAAGATCCCACCTGAGCCTGGAGATCCAGGCGACCTCCTGTGTGGTCCTGTTTACTGCTGTACAGATCTTTATTAAACATCTGCCGGTTCCTGGTTCCTGCGCTCTTTGAAGAGGTAAGAACCCGAGAAGCAGATGTTTCTGACCAGAAAAGTGTCTGCAAGTGATGGAGACATGGAACTACTGAGACAGAGCCCGGGGTGTGTGGGCAAGTAGGAGCAGCAAGGTTACTGTGTAGTGACAGCGGAGGTGTGAGGTAAATCCCTGTGAGTCCCTGAGAGAAGGACAAGAGAGTCACCACAGCAGCTGAGGGCAGGGAAGGTGCTGCGTGGGCAGGGCTGGATGGTGCAGAGGTGCAGGACATAGGGGTCACCCGGGCAGGTAGGCAGGGACTTTGACTTACACCCAAGAGCTACTGAGAGCTATCAGTGTTCGGGCTCAGAGAAGAGTGAGGCAGAAGCCACGCTGCTGGAAACTGTGGGGTCAAAATAGAAGTGGCAGACAGAGCCTGCCACGACAAGAGTTCTGTGCTGCAGGCTCATGGGGCACATTGCTTGGTTTTTTTGTTAGTGGTATTTTGTTGGTTTTAGTTCTTCAGAATAGCCCTGCAAAGTGGACATGACTGTTATTAACCCTCCTTTATTACAGAAGAAAAAACAAGAGTGAAGAAAGTTAAATGACAGCCTAGAGCTAGGCAGCTAGGAAATGACAGAGCAGGGTTGGGCGGTCATCAGTGATGGTCAGAAGCACAGGCAAGGTAGGAATCTGCCCAGCCTCATGGTGCGGCTCCATTTGTACTGACAACTGCTCCCTTAGGGGCTGCTGCTGTCACCCACATGAGCCACCCACCTAATCCGTGCATCTGGGCAGCAGAAATGTTGGGGCTATTTTGTCTCAGTGGGGCAGGTGGGACTATCAGGTCGTGGACGGCAGAAGTGGGGCTTCTTGGAAGGAAATAGAGCTCCTCACAGATTGGGCCAGAGTTAGGAGCCCAGGGAGGCTGGGCAGCTGTCCCCTCTGATCAGGACATGCCGCAGGAACACCAAAGCTGGCACCACTGGCTCTGGCAAGATCCAGGTTCAAGATCTTCTTGTCTCACTCGCTGCTCCAAAGCAGACTCTGGAAAGGCCACCTGCTACTTAGGTGTGGGGTAAGGGAGCCTCTGGTCTCCTCCCTTCTGTAAAGGGAGGTCCTGGAACTCCCCAGTCAAGAGAAAGACATTGAGAGTCTGGAGCTTAGAAAAGTATTAAAGTCCACACGTTACAGTTCTGCTAGCCTGTGTGTGATTTTCAGGTGCTGCTATACCTCACTGAAGACACAAAATGGTTGACAAAACATGTCCAAGCTTTAGTTTAGGCAGAAGAGGGCGGGCCAAAGCCTTAGTTACTTCACAGGTCTTCTCATGGCCTGCCAGGGCTGGGACCATTGCTTATAGAGGTCACGTCACAGTTCTCTGAAGAGATACAGAGAGCCTTCTCAGGAAGAGTGGCAAGTACCATTGTGTAAGACTGGAGGTAGCCAGGGAGCTTGGGGCTGGCAGGTAAGCATGGCTCCCAGGCCTGTATTGCCCAGTGCCTGAGAAGCATTCCCGACAGGGTTTTTGGGAGCACAGGATCTAGGATTTACATACATCTTCTTGGCCAGAGATAGCCCAGATGATCTCTTCCTCACCTCCATCCTCACCCTCACTTTGACCCCGTGCCAACCCTCAAGAACCATGTAGGGAGCACGTGAGGAGGTGTGACACCCACAGAACAAAGCAACGTCCTGATTGGGAGTGGAAATCTCTAACACAAGGGCCTTCGAGAGATTGCCAGGATCTAAACCACAGCCCGTCTTAGGTGTTGCTGCGGGGCAAGTGCTCGGTAAATACTGCTTGAGTGGCTGAGCGGGAGCAGACAGGTCACAGCCACTCACTAGACAGCCCTGAGAAAGGAAACACTCACCACTGCGTGTGGGCAAGAGGCAGTGCCCCTAGAAGGAGTGAGCAGGCCGTGGAGGTATCTCCCGGAGGATTTTGGGTTCCACACAACAGACCTTTCATTTGCACACGGCCTTCTGCAGATGGTGAGTGGAGCAGATGTGTAGTTACCGGGCATCTGGGGTGCACTGGCTTTGTTGCCGGCCTCCCAGGAAACACAGCTCTGCTCCCAGATTGTTGGCAGTTGTCTTGACGGGCAATAGTAAAGCCAATTGTCTGCACGGATGGGTTGGGATGGGGAGACATACGGGAAGGTTTACGATGCCCACACTGCATCTTCCCAGAGAAGCAGAGTTAACTAGGGAAAGGAGGCAACATGAGAAATGTGTGTTCTTATGTAAGTAGTGTGTCGCAGAGTGTAGGGGTCTGAGGGATGAACTGATACAATATAGACTTCATGGGAGAAGGGCTTCATATAGAGAGTAGGGCTGGCTGTAGGAAATTGACTGTGTCTAATGCCTGGGGGTGAAAAGCAGAATTAGAAAGGACGAGTTAATGAGTTAATTTGCAATAACTGGAAAGTATCCAAACGGAGATGACCCATCAAGATGTGAGTCTGGGATCCAGGAGAGGATGAGGTAAAATGGCCACGTGGGAATTAGAGCTGCAGGAAGCAATGAGGGTTTTTGGTTTTTGTTTTTTTGTAAAGAAGGTTGTGTTTGCTTAAAAAAGAAAGGAGTAGGGCTAGAACCTAAGAAGCCAGTCTTAGGAAGTGCTAGGTGGACAGAGAGCCAGGGGAGTGTGGGTTCTATAAACAGAAGTGGCCAGAAAGAGGGCTCACTTGTGCCTAGCAAGATGTTAGCCACAAACAGGTCCCTAGTGGCCTTTGCGAGTTCACATGCGAGCAGAGACGAGACTCCCGCAGAGCTGCGCATGCGGCTCAGGGGTAAGAGTGCTCACCTAGCTCACTCAAGGCCCCGAGTTCCATTCCCTGCACTGCAAACCAAACCAGGGAAAGAGCCTTCTCTGTGGCGCAGAGGAGCACCTGGGGCCTGCACTGGAACTGTGCCTTGGCAGAGGAAGAAGAATCAGGCAAGAGGACCAAGAGAGGCAGGGATGCTCCTACCTCTGGGGAGGACTGGACTCAGGGCCTGCCCTGCCGCTTCATGCATCCGCCCGCTGATCGCTCCCTGTTCCCTCTTGTGTAAGATGGGGACATAAGTTGTTCACTCAGCCATCGGCACCACTCTTAAACCCCACAGGGACACAGAGGGCGGGCAGGAAGGTCAGTGGACAGATGGGGAAGGGCTGGCCAGGAGCCCAGAAGAGCAGTGGCATCTTATACAGAAAAGCAGAACTGGGGAGAAAGGCACATTACCCTTATACTGTACCCCAAACTGCTGCACATTGTATGGCCCTAGGAAAGAAGAACGTTCTCCTAGGATGTTTGTTTGTTTTTTCCCTTTTGAGACAGGGTATATGAGGATAAAATCCCTCTGTTTCATTTAACAATAGGAGAACCTCTCCTGAGGTTGGTTGTTCATGGTTTTGAGAAAATGAAGCCCCTCAAAACCGAGGTGTGTATGTGTGGTCTGTTTCTGTGGTGTCTCAGATGATGTTCAAGCTGTTTCAGTCCTCAGACTTAGCTTGGTGTCTGTTCTAATATGTCACGAACATCTCTGTAAAGGAATGGCTTATACTTGCCTTGTTTTCACAGATAATCAGGCAGGCAAACACAAAGACAGGAGGAAGAATTCAGTAGACGCCAAAGCAGTCTCCTCTAGAACGAGTGAAGGTGAGTGGCAGACAACAGCTTGGTTTCCTGGTGATCACGCACCGCGTTCAAGAGAGGAGCAGGCCCCACGCCACCCTCCACACAGGTCGGCTCCATTCTGAGCTTTGAAATGAGCCAATAACAAGGAACAGAGAAACAGGTGCTAGGTGTTCTGTGTGGTTTTCCCGACTCTACCAATAGACTCGCCTGTCAGTCTGCTGTTGCGACGTGAGTCATACACATTTGGTAGTTCTGACGAACTGACTGTGGAAACTTACCCTTGGGAAGTGGTAGGCTTAATTTGGAGATTGTAATACTCTCACTAAGAAAATATTATTTAAGTTCAGATGGAAATATAATCCTCCTGCCTGTGCCTCAGTGCTGGGACTAAAGGAGTGCACCACCATGATTATTTTTAAAGCAGGGTCTCATATAGCCCAGGCTGACTTCAAACAACCTTCTGTCCCCACCTCCCAAGTGTTCAGCTGAAATAAAATATTAAGACCACGGAGATGCATGCTAACCAGCATGGTTTTTTGGTTTTTGTTTTTTTCATGCAGTCACCATGTCTCTCTCCCAACTTTACGTCCTTTTAATTACCCTGCTGCCTGTGTTTATATTGGCCAATCACTGAGGCACAGGCCACCTTCCCCCAGGAGTCACTAACTGACAATAGCTCCTCACTAAGGGTAGGCCTGTGGGCCCCTCCTGTGTTGGCTGGGGTTTCTGACCCACCAGTCCCGAAGCCATTCAATCCCAAAGAAACACACAGAGGCCTACATTAATTATAAACCAGTTGGCCTATTAGCTTATGCTTCATATTAATTAAAATTCTTATATCATAAATTAGTTCATTATTCTTGTCTATGTTAGCCACATGGCTTGGTACCTTTTACCAGCGAGACATTCTCATCTTGCTTCCTCTGTGACTAGGTGATGATAGCAGACACAGCCTTTCCTCTTCCCAGAATTCTCTTGTTCTTGTTGCCCCACCTCTACTTCCTGCCTGGCCACTGACCAATCAGCACTTTATTAAAGCAATAGAGCTGACAAATCTTTACAGGGTACAAGATCATTGTCCCACATTCTCCTGCACAGAACTCTAGATGGTATTTTAACAGGTTTCACTTCCACTTCTAACCACGGGGCATTAGTACAGAGACATGCATTGGGTTTAGGATATTGACCTCTTACCCAGTGACTGACTGACTGTAAGACTATAGAATAGTGAGTGTATTTGCAGATTCTTCAGGGCATCTCTGTAACACACAGAAAATTTTGCATTTCTTAACTCATTGCACTTATGCTATTTGGTTTTTTCACATTATTTTTAAAATAAAAATTTCAGAATTGTGTCTATCATAGACAACATGCTGTTTTAGAATGTGCTTACATTGTGAAATGACTAAATTGAGCTAATTAACAAATATTTTAGTTTGCATCCTTAGAAACCTACCTTAGACATTCTCAAGAGTGCAGTGCGTCCTGTCAACAGCTCTGTTAGATTCCTGAATAAGAGCAAATCCTTTTCTGATCGTGATAAGACAGTGGGGACTTTGTTTAGTGCCTTTATTGTGTAAGATGTAAAGTCAGCAGCCATATGCTGACCACTAACATTAGATTTGAGTTTTGTTGGCATTTGAGGCTTGCTGGCCTGGTTAACCTTAGACAGTACGTCTCCTTTAGGCTTAGTTTCTCTGAAGGCAAGTTGAGCCTGAGGCATTGTCTTGATGGACATTCTCTCCTCCTCTCTGGCTGTTGGTACTCCTCTCAGTGTGGTGTTCACAGAGACACAGCACTCTGGGACAGTCTTTGCCTGCCTGTGCATTGTCCGGGCTTCTCTCGGCTCAGAAGCGTCGTGCCTGGACATGAACAACAGATTCTTAGTTGTAATGTAATGTTGCCTGATTAGCCTTAAAATAAACACACCAGAGGACAGCACTAGGCAGAACCTGGGAAATCTGGACCAGAAATTGATTGATTTTAGTAAGTGGTAAAGCTTAATCGATTGCTCCCACCTTCCACGGACCAAAGGGCGTTAAGGAGCTGTCTTCCAGAGCATCTTGACCCTGGAGAGCAGCAAGAGGGGGTAACTAAAGCCTTATTGTTGTACACACCAAAAAAGGTGGTTTGGCCTTGACTTGCTAAATTGTTCCGTCCTGCTTCTTTCTGACTCATGACATCAGGTCATGGGGTCATGCGAGCATCCAGCACTTAGAACGGAGCTGGCAGTGCAGACAGGGAAAGAGGGAAGGCTCAGTCTGGGTGCAGTTACTCCAGTGCCTTTTGTGTGGGAAGGGAGGGTATAAAGCCCAAGACTGGACACACCCTGATTTCTCACCCCTTTCCACAGTTTCCAACCAGAGAAGACATTCCTCTCTGGCCCGGATACACTCGATGATGATTGAGGCGCCCATCACTAAGGTTGGTCTTCACTGGGTATGCAAGTCCCTGGTAGTCCCAGTGAATTGCTTTCCTGACAAAAAAAAAAAAAAAAAAAAAAAGGCACCTGCAGTAAATAAGAGTGCTCTTTCAGTTGTATAAGGTCACCTCTGAGGAGAGGATGGGTGACAGAGACCGTATCTAACAGAACGTAGTGGCGTAATTACAGACTATTACCAGCTCGACTCTTGATTGCTCTCGGATGGTTTTTAAGGTGACAAAGCTGTCTTTTGTTTCCATGCTGTAGGTAATCAATATTATCAACGCTGCCCAGGAAAGCAGCCCCACCCCCGTGACGGAGGCCTTGGACCGAGTGCTGGAGATTCTGAGGACCACCGAGTTATATTCACCACAGTTTAACGCTGAGGATGATCCTCACGCCACCGACCTCGTTGGGGGCTTAATGTCTGTAAGTCTGTTTGCCCAGGCTACTGGCCGTGGGCTCCTGTGTGCTTTCTCAGAGGTCATCTGAACAGGGCTCTAGAAGGCAAGCAGGGGGAGGCTGTGTAGGGCTCGGTAAAGGCTGCTTCCCCTCCATGGTTTGTATCCAGTTATGCTGGGCCTGGTTGCCTGCTGTTCCCCTCCCAGGGAGCCTCAGCTGGGAGCAGGAGAGAGATGCCCATTCTGCCCACCAGTGTCGCTGAGGGTTACAGGCATTTATTTAAATAAGACATTGTCAGCTGTAGTGAAGTATTTTTTATTTATTTTGTTTTGTTGTTTCATTTTGAGGCAGGGTCTCACTATATAGCCCTTGCTGAACTTGAATTTGCTAGGAAGACCAGACTGGCCTTGAACTCAGGCGAGCTGCCTGTTTCTGACTCTTGAGTGCTAAGATTAAGGGTGTACACCTCCACACCCTATTCCCTATTGCTGGACTTCCTTTTGGGTCCGCCAGTCCCCAGTAATGACACAGAGACCCATGAATGATGAAAGTTTGTCCTTAGCTTGTTCTCAACCAGCTCTTGTAACTCAACCCATTTATATTAATCTACTTTGTGCCACATAGCTGTTACCTCTCCTCCATTCTGTACCTCCAGCTCCCTCCGTGTTTCAGACTTCTCTGGCAGACCTAGTTCATCTCAAGTTCCCTCTCTCCACAGTCCTGCCTATTCTCTCCTGCCTAGCTATTGGCTATTCAGCCCTGTATTAAACCAATCAGAAGATGCCTTGGCATAGACATATCTTCACAGTGTACAAAAAGACTATCCCACATCAACACCCAGCTTATTTTTAAAGATTTTAAAAGTTGAGAAAAAGAAAAACTATCAAATGTTTCGTGTTAGTGGAAGGAGCATCACTCAGTGGTAGAGTGCCTGTATATCATTTACAGAGCCTTGCCTTCCATCCCCAGCACCAAAAAGAAACAGCAAAACAGACAGAGCATCACACCTTAAACTCAAAGCTACATGACAAGTTGCAAAACGGAGCTGTCTCCTGCATATATGCTTTAAAAAGTGCCAGCATGTGGGGCATAGTTTCACCTCCAAAGCTTCCCCCACAGCCTTTGGGTAACTTCGCAGGAACGAAGGCATTAAGGCCTTTCAGACTCTTGAGGAGCCCTGGACCCCAACCACCTCAGCCTGTCCAGCGCAGAGCTCCCACAAGGAAGACAGACTATGCCTGCATTCTGCCGGCTGTCTTAGCCTCTCAATTCCCGCTATCTGAAGTCACTAGATTTCAAAAAAAAAGTAAGGTTTGGACAGTAAATTCTAGAAGGTAGGGTGATTGCCAGCGGTAGCCTCTAACTGTGGCCTGTAGGTCAGGGGTGAGTGTGGGAAGGGTGGGGGTGGATGAGAGAGGGTGGGACTGGAACATAAGAGGGTGGGGTGCTGAGTGATTGGTGTGGTACTCAAGGAACTGGACAAGGTGCAAAAAGAACCTGGGCATGGTGGCACACACCTTTAATCCCAGCAGAGGCAGGCGGATCTCTGTGAGTTTGAGGCTTGTCTAGTCTACAGAGCGAGTTTCAGGATAGCCAGAGCTATACAGAGAGATCTTGTCTCAAAATGCTCCCTACCCCCC